GGACCAAGTGGGCAGAGCAGGCCGAGAGTCTGGCCCCCCGGGGCTTCAAGCAGGGAGCCCAAATATTGGGAACAAAAGCGGGAAAAGAAAAGTGAGAGCAGGAGGGAGACAGGGAGCAAAGGAGGGAGAGAGGAAGCAGAAATTAGGGGGTCTTAGATGGAAAAAAAAGAAAAAAGTAGCTTTAGGGGGAATGTGCCGTGGAGTGTGAAATTGCAGCCCATGGTGCTCCATATTGTACCAGAAGCTCTTCCAAAAAACCATCCTCCAACGTGACCAGAGGGCTAGGAAGGGGGAGGGACGGGAGAGTATGGGGAGGAGGAGGGGAAAGGGCCGGGCGGGAGCTGGTCTGGCCGAGCAGGAGAGGGGGCCGGATGCATGCACCCACTGCCTCGAATCTGGTCTCGGAGTGTGCGCCCCAGGATGGGCGGGGACCCTTAGGGAGAGGGGGCCGCTGGCAGTCCCCAGCTTGGATCGTCAGATGAACTTTTTCTCCTTTTCTTTTTTCTTTTTTGTGGTGCTGATGACTTCCAAAACTGGGAATAATTCGGAAAAGGAGCCCAGCTGCGGAGCTGCTGTTCTGCACTACCCTTTTCTCTTCCCTCCTCCATTTCTGCTTCTCTTCCCTTCGGACTAGTTTTTCCCCCTTGGTTCTAAACAGCTTCTTTCCCCCCTGAACTGTAATGCGTTTAATTTGGTCCGCGCTGTGGGAAGCATCTCCTAGGGAGATGCATTTAATTTCGGAATTTCTAATCCCCTCCCTGAGAACCTCGGCCCTGGCTCCCTTTGCCGCTCCCTGGGAGGTGTCAGGAGTGGAAGGAGGGAGTTAGACCCAGGCCAACAAAGCTCAGCTGGGGGGCTTTCTCATCCCCTCAGCCCCTCTCCCCAGACCCAGCCGCCTTCCCGAACTACTCCAGGTCAGGTGCCTGGGACCCAGGTCAGGGCCCTGGTCGGGGAGGGAGGCAGAGACACCCCTGCTTTTTCTCACTGGGGAGAAAAGCCCTGGGCCAGGATGGGGAACCTGGAAAATGAGCAGGACTGCAACAGGAACGGGTGCAATTGGGGCAACGGGCAGGATTTCCAGGAGCCCTTTGCTTCATGCACAATCTGCCCAGAAACCCATTTGGGAGTTTGGGGTGCTAGTTGTGCTTGGTTTGGCTTGGGGGCCTGTGCATGCGTACCCTGATGGAGGTGGAGAGAGAGGGGCTTAAGGGAGACTGCCACCTCCTGCGCACGTACACCCTGGACCAGCAGGCTCCAGACAACCAGTGACTGAGGCGGCCGCATCGTCACCGGAGGAAGGAGGCAAGGGCGGGGCACTGGGCGCCAGGCAAGCCTGGCAGAGAAGGGAGTGGAGAAGGTAAAGGAACAGAGATCCACAAGGAAGATTTATTGGGCAGATCAGATGCACAGAGGCGGCTAATGAAGCAAATCCCGAGATGGGTATCAGAGCAACTCCCCAAAAGTTTATTTGCCTTTAAATTTCCGCAGGGAGGCGGGCGCCTTGTTTGAAGTGTAAATGCCCCTAGGTTGGGGGGTGGAAGGGCCGCTTTGAAAACACCAGAGAGAAAAGGTTCATTTAGAGGCAGACGGGAAAAGCAACCAACCCTGACAGGTCGGAGCCCGGGTTGTGTTTGGGGTTGGGTTGTTTTCTTTCCTTCTCTTTCTTTTCCTCTTTCCTCTTCTCTCTTCTTCCCCTTTTTTCTTTCTTGCTTTTTTTCTTCTCTACTAAGCTCTATAGAAGAAGAAAGGGAAGAACAGAAAAGAGAGCATCAGAGGGAGAGGCCAGCCCTTCAGCCTGCAGCCTTAGGAGGAAGCAGAGTCTTGGCTGAAATCACTAAGAAGCGGGGCTCTTTGGCTTTCTAAACCCCGGGATGAGCTGGAGCTAAGGAGGAAGCTGCCAGGGGTTGGCCTGGTGGGAGGGTGAGTGTCCAGCTAGTGCTGGGTGGAGAAAGGGTCCCAGGAGGGACTGAAGTTGGTGGGTGGGTGGAGTTCTGGAATCTCAGGAGCTAGCTGTGAATTGGACTGTCCTGAAAAGGGCTTCACTTTTCAGGGAGTGCATGTGAAGGGTAGGCATGTGAGCACAACTTCCAGCAGTTTTGCATTAAGTCTCCTTTACAAAAGGTGACACTGCCTCTTGCAAATGCCTGTTGTCTGCACCCACAGTTTATCGTATGTGTAACCTAGGGGTGTGTCCAGCTGGTTATAGAAAAATCTGAGTCTATGTGTGGAGGGGGTTCTGCCCACAGTCTTGCTCCCCCAAAGTTCAGCCTCCCCAAGACAACTTCCTGGACCACCATAGGAAGACATGGGGCAAAGGGCTCCTTGAGTTCTGAGTTCCTTTCAGTAATCACCCCTCCTGGATGCTTCCCCCCACCCACCCACTCCCACCCCCGCAGTTCTGGGTTAATCAGCTCCCTGAAGAAAGCCCAAGGCTGTACCTGAGAGCGTTTTACTCCCAGCCCTGGGAGTGAGAACCTTCCCTTTTAGGCTGCGAGAACTCTGTTTTCCTTTTTCACTCCACACATGAAGTTACTGCGTGTTCGTGGGGTTGTGAGGCCAAAGCAAACCCGGGAGCGCCATCTGCAGGTCTCGAGAGGAAGAAACTGACCTTCCGGGCTGGACCCTGCGCCTTCAACCTCCCGCCTCAGGGAATCGGCTAGGCCACCCAAGGGAAGTGGGCTGGGGGCCCAGCCGGAGGAGGCAGGCAGGGAGGTGCCCCCCCCAAAAAAAAAGTTCCTCTGCAGGTGGATTAAGCAGATCAGGCTCAGGAGGATCCAGCAAGTAGGGCAATGCTAGGATCCCAGCAGGCCCGGTCCCCTAAGGAATGGGAGGCTCAAAACCCTGTCCGGCTGAGCCTGGCCCTAGCCCCGCAAAAAGATGAAAGGATCCCCAAAACCCGGGTGCAAGAGGCCCAGTGGGAGTCTCCTGGCTGAGTCCGGCGGGTGTAGTTTCATCTTAGCTGCCGCCAAGGCTCCGGCCAGCCGGACAGTGGCGTGGGTCTGCGGCGCTCCGGCGAAAGCCAGGGGTCTGCAGGCACGGGCCAGAGGAGCCTGAAGTCCGCGAGGCTAGAGCGCAGCGCGGGCTTCTCTGAACTGCCCTTTCGCAGACCCAGGGAAGCGGGGGGAGGGAGTGAAGGAGGGAGAGAGAGTTAAAACATCAGCTGAAGTGCCAAGATGATTTATGAGACGAGGGAAAATATTTCATAAAGATCTCCTGGATATTCTGTACTTAACCAGTTAGGAGACAAAGGGCTTCTCCTGCCTGGTGTGTGCAAGCGGACCCGTGCGAGCGAGCGAGCTAGTGCGGACGAGAGCTGCGGAGGCTGGACCCGCGCGGCGCGGGTAGGAGCGGGGCCCCGCCAGGCGTGCTGCGCCCCCTGTGCTCACTCCGGATCCGCGGAGCTAGCGGCGGGCGGCGCTCAGCCTCGCTCGCAGCCTCTTCTCCCCAGCCGGGGAGAGCCAGCCGTGGTCTGCCGCGTTCTCTGCCGCCAGCGACCAGTCGCTCCTCACTGTCTCCCTCCACACGCCCTCCTCCCGGGCCATCCCAGAGTCCAGGAGCCCAGTGTCCGGGCTCTCCCACTGTCCATTGGGTTCCACTGGAGGCAGACAGGTCCTCGCCTTAGGTCTCCACCTAGATTCTAAACCGAATGTTTTGGGATGCCCGGATCCCGATGGCCTGGGAGGTGAGGGAAGCCCTACGCGCAGCTGCGCGTGGGACGGGAGAGGACTGACTGCCAGGCACTTTGCCCCGGAATGAGAATTGGGGGTGCGTGGGTGGGGAGGTACCTCAGGAGGGAAAGGGGAAAGGGAAGGACCAAAGAGAGGAAGGAAGAACAAGGAAGGAACGGAAGGGAACTCAGAGCGGAGAATGGGGGGCTAAGCCTAGGGATGCGGACCCAGCTCCGGGCGGCGTGGCCCATGCGGGCACCGGCCGGTGGATGGCAGGGCTGGGTGAGTTGGGACTTCCAGCCGGGCTTCCAGGCGCGGCGCGCTCCGCGGCCCTCTGTGGATGCCTGAATATTCATTAGACTGGCCGGTCTTTATCCTTATCTAACGTTTATCTTATCGGCGAGTTTCGTTTCTCGGAGTAGTTTTATCCCCGGCTCCCCTTCCTCCTCCCCCTGGCCCACTCCCCTCCCTCTCTCTTCCGTCGCCCGCCGCTCCCTCCTCCCTCCCGTTTCCCCCTCCCCTCTCCTCCCCTCGCCGGCACCGGAGTGACAGGCGCGGGGCCCTCCTCGCCGAGGCTCGGGGCTCCGGCGCTGGCGAATCACAGAGTGGTGGAATCTATTGCCTTTGTCTGACAAGTCATCCATCTCCCAGCGCAGGGAGGGGGAGGGGGTCTGGAGGGGACTTTGCAGCTTTTAGAGAGAGACACACCGGGAGCCGAGGCTCCAGTCTCCGACCGAGTCTTCTCGCGGCCGCAACCCACCTGGGGCCAGCCCAGAGCTGCCGGCGCCGCTCGCTCCCTCCCTCCCTCCCGGCCCTTTGGCCGCAGCAGCGTGCGCCTGCCTTTTCCAGGGGTGGGGGCCCGGCTCGCACTCTCCCCTCCCGAAGGCGCCCGCCCAGACATCCCGAGGATTGCTACTTCTCTGTCAACTTCGCCAACTCACCGGCACTTGGAGCGGCCCAACTTCCAGCACGGCGCCCTCGGGCCGCCCCAGCTCCTCGCCCTCTCCGACTGCCGCCTCTCGATGACCAGGTTCCAGGGGAGCTGAGCGAGCCGCCTCCCGCTCCCAGCTTCTGCCCGGGCCGCAGCGGCCGCGCGCGCCATGCGCCCCCAGATTCCCCCGGCCCGGCCCGCCGCCTCGGGGCCATCCTGCTGACCAACCAGCCCCGCGCCCCGACGGCGGGAAGTTGCGGGCGCTGCGGTCGCCAGTTCCGGCCGGTCAGGGACAAGTCCCCGCCGGGAAAGCAGTGCGGCGCCCCCCGCCCCGGTGCGCCCTGCCGCAGCCGGGCGCCTGCTCACCCCCACCCCCACCGTCCCTCCCTTTTCTTCTCAAGTCCTGAAGTTGAGTCTGCGAGGCGACACGGCGGCGGCGGCCGCGCTGCTCCCGCTCCTCCGCCTCCCCATGGATATGCACTGCAAAGCAGACCCCTTCTCCGCGATGCACCGTGAGTACCGGCGCCCGGCTTCTGCTCCCGTTCGGGGCTCCCGTCCCAACCCGGGTCCTTCCTGGCGCGGCCCTGACCCCCGGTTCTGCGGTCCCATCTTGGAGGCCAGGCTGCTTCTCCCAGGCTCCCCTCTCGTTCTTGCTCTCTCATCCCCCAGTGTTTCCGAAGCCTCCAGTTCCCCTCCTTCCGCCTTCTGTCTCCCGTACTGCTCCCTCTACCTGCCTTCCTACCTTCCCTTGCGGCCCATCACCTGCCTTCCTTCCACCTGCTTCTTCTTAAGTTGTGGGTCCACACCCCGCCCCCTCCAGGAACCCCACTCCCTACTCACCCTCTTGCCCCGGGCTGGGTGACAGACGGGCTGGCAGTTTTCAGGGTTTGTGTTGTGTTGTGATTTCTCTGTCTTCTCCTCTGCCTCCCTCGCTCTGTGTGCCTCCCCCGCCCTCCCCTCCTCTCCACCTTCCTCCAACTTAGAGTGTGGCTGTCCAGGATGAGCCTGGGAGCGCCGCAGCCTCGGTGTCAGACCCACCAGGCAGAAGAGTATGGGGGTGGGGTGCCCCCTTCTGACCCTCGGCTCCCAGCATCTCCAGTGCCCTGCCAGCCTAGCCAAGGCTGCTTGTGGGCTGGTTTGAAACACTTCTTTCCTCTTCTTTTCTTTCCACCCTCCCTTCCCTCTCTTTCTTCTTCTCTCCTTGAGTTGGGAGTCGGAGATTGGCAGGATGTGGTGGTCATCTTTTCCCACCTCTCCCGGGGAGATGCTCTAAAAACAAAGAGATGTTCCAAGGAGAAATCGGAATCAAAAAAGATGGAGCGGAGGGGTGTTCCAGGAGGGACCTGGGCAGAGCAAGGCTCTGCGTCCAGTCCTGGAGGCCTCTTGCCCACCTCCCCCGCTCCCTGGTGAGGACAGTGTAGCCAGTGACCTGGCCAGGGGGTGAGCAAAGAGGGAGAAAATAGCCGGGAAAGAACAAAAGGAAGGCAAACGCTGAAGCTGGGGAGAAAGGAAAGAGAAATGAAAACACGGGGGAGAAAATAAAAGAGAGAAAACAGAAAGGATGTGACCAAAAAAGAATGGGGAGGAAAGGAATGAAAAAATAAGAAAAGGGAATTATTTTAATTAAATTCTAATTTAATTTTTGTCATATGTCTTTAACTTGGAAAACAATTCAGAGGTTTTTGTCGGGCTTTTTTTTTTAAGGTAAACAGGTTCTAAATAAAAACATCTCCTCCTTTGTAGATTAATAATTAAGGATGATTTGTAACTTTTCAGAGGGAAACTTTTTAGAACTAGCTCGGATATGTGCTTTGGACAAGAGAGCCGAGAATGGAGAGCAGAGTTTTTTTCCTTAAACATATATATAGCGTTACAGGGGGAGCTTTAAAAGATGCCCCTGGGATAAAGTATATTTTCCTAAACAACATCCAAGCACAGGAGACCCGAGCTGGGGGCCTCGGGCTGCCGCGAGTCTCCGAGAGCCAAGCCAGAAATCCAGGCTCCTGGTCCGAGCTTCCCTCGCCGCCTTCGCCCAGCCCGCCTGCCTCTCGGCCGGCTGCCTCTGCTCTGGCTCTCTTCTCCCGCTGATCCTGCGGGGGACCCGCTGAATCCTGGCCGCCCACTGGGTGCCACTTTAAAACCTAAAGGGGAGCAAGACGAGCTGAAGGTGGTCGGAGGAAGGGAGACCGCGGCGCGGGCGGCGGGCGGCGGGCGGCGGGCGGCGGACGGACTGGCCCGCAAGCCTCCGCAGCCGGAGTGGGCGCCGGCGGCAGTGGCGCATCCAGGCCCGACTCAGCGCTGGCTCCGGCCCCCGCCCCGGACTCCCACCGTGTCCGCTTCCATTCCCATCCCTTAGATTGGGAATGAGGGGCCGGGCCCAGAGCCCGGGGAGGCTGAATTATTCATCTTTAATCTGCCCGCAGCTGCCGCCTTTTCATACCGGTAACGCGAGTTCTCCCGGGGCCTAAATTATTGATGGTCGGGGTTTGGAGGGCGGGGAGGGGTGAGAGTGGGGCTAGAGGTAGCGAGTCCAGCGGAGATGGGGAGTGAAAGCAGAGGTTCCGGCCTTTCCCAGCCTCCGGATTCCGAGGCCTCTCCCCAGGGGTTTTGCCCGCTTGTGCTGTGGGTCCCCCCAGAAGGGGAAGGGAAAGAATTGAGCGGGACGCAGGTGTCCCCGCTTTCGCCGAAAGTCGCCTGAGGCTAGTAGGGCAGGGGCTGCAGGTTGATGGCCCGATCCGGCCCAACTCTGCCGCTAGAAGTCTCTGTGCTTGGATTGATCGGTAACTGCGGCTGCGGGTTGATGGCTCTGGGTGCAGGATTTCTAGACTGCTTTAGACCAGGGAGAATGGGGAGTCAGCAAGCGCCCCCAGGCCTGGCATCCAGTAATCACCTGGAACCACCTGGGCTCCGAGGCTGGAAGGCCGAGCTGGAGTCCGGAGTCCGGCTGGAGCCCCAGCGCCTTCCTCTTGGCCAAGCGAGCAAACGCCCTGCTGCGGGCGACTGCCAAGGTCTGAGAGGTCAGAAGGACGCGAGCTGGCCGGGGCTGGCTGGCACAGGGTTCCCCTTGAGCCCTCAGCCCTCCAGGGCGACCTGTAACAGGCAACGTGGGCAAAGCGGTGGGCCCCGAGCCTGGCGCAGCGCGGCAGGAGAGCCCTAGCCGCCTGCGTCCTCCAGCGGATACCCGCGCGGCGCCGCGACGCTCACCGCTGCCTGTCTGTCTCTGGGCGCAGCCGGCTCCGGGCCCCTGCCTCTTCGGCCTTCCCCCCTGCACCTGGCTTTCTTTGAACTTTAGACACTAGGGAGACGAGAGGGGAAAATGGATCCCCGAAATATCTGAAGATAGAAAACATAAAGGACACAAAAACTCTCCATCCAAAAAAAAAAAAAAACAACAGAACAAATCAAAGACACAGAGAAAGAGCTAGGAAAACCCCAATCCAATTAAAAAGAAATACAAGGGAAAAGATGGAGAGCAGAAGCGGGGTGTCAGGGACTGAGAATGTCAGGGACTCAGTGATGTCCCCCCCTGTGTTCGGAGTCCTTAGGTAGCCGCCCGGACCCAGACCCTTTAAAGCACCCGCACGCAGCGACAACTCCATCTTGCCTGCGGCTCAGGCGGGATCCGCTCCACGCAGGTCCCGTCTTCCGCCCGGCCTCTCCTTTCTTTTACATTCTCTCCTGCTGGCATCAACTCCCCCTTTGCTGTTTTCCCCCCTTCTCCCCTCTTTCCGTTCGCCCTGCGTCTCCATTCCTTCCTTCAGTTTCTCCCTCGCGCCCCACTGGTCCGGGCCGAGCGCTTTCGCAGCCCTCTGCCGAGCGTCTGCGCTTCCGCGCCTCCACCGGCCCGAGGGCTCCAGTCCCCGGTCCTCCGCGCTGTGGTCTGCCGGCCACCGTTCTCCCGCGACTCTGGGAACATGCCTCCGCCCTGCCTGCTCCCTTCACACGTCCTGGGCCGCGGACCCTGACTAATGGCTGGCCCCTGCTGTGTGTGGGGTGTTGTGTTTTTTTTTTTCTTGTCTCTCCCCAGCAGGGCACGGGGGTGTGAACCAGCTCGGGGGGGTGTTTGTGAACGGCCGACCCCTGCCCGACGTGGTGAGGCAGCGCATCGTGGAGCTAGCCCACCAGGGTGTGCGGCCCTGCGACATATCCCGGCAGCTGCGGGTCAGCCACGGCTGTGTCAGCAAAATCCTGGGCAGGTGAGGGCCTCGGAGCTGCTGCCCCAGGGGGATGCCCTGCCTCCTTTCCCTGCCGGCCCTGGGTCTCCAGCCTGAGGACCTGGCTAAAAGCTGGGGATACCAGCGGGAGAGGGAAATGACGGATTGGGGTATTTGGAGAGCTGCTCCTTTCGGAGAGGGCACTCAGGTGATGGCTGCAGCCCTTGGAGCGAGGCTGGAGCAGGGCCGTTCAGCACCTGCCCAGCTCTGGGAGGCAACCTGATTCCTGTCTTCAGAAAAGGAGTGGGCAGCTCTTTTAGCAGAGTCTTACAGATGGGGGGGAGCATTGGAGGAATAGGGAGAGGAGCTACAACAGGCACCCAAGAGGAGAAAAATCAGCATTGAGGAAGTGGAAGGAGGGTCTGGATTCCCACAGGAGCTCTGCACCCGGTGGGAAAGGGCTGGAGGTGGTGCCTCAGCCCTGGTCCGCCTGGGGGCCTGGAAGCACAGTTCCTTCTGCTCTTCCCAGAGGAAAGGTCAGGCTTTTGCTCCCAGGGGCTCCTCTTTAGGCTAGTGTTCACCCAGCCCCTGGCAAGACTGCCTCCTGGAGGGAGTGCCCCCCTCTCGCTCTCCCTTGTCCTCCTCTGCATTCCTCGCCCTAGCCAAGCTCCCTTTGGAAGCTGGCTTAGCCGAGCTGGGCCCTTTCCCTCTGCGTGGCTGCCTCAGGCATAAGAGTGGCTCAGTGGCTCTGGAACCTGCAGCCCCCACCCCGACCCCTGCCCCTGCCACTGCTGCTTCTCGCTGATCCTGCCGGCCTTCCCGGCGCAGGTACTACGAGACTGGCAGCATCAAGCCCGGAGTGATAGGTGGCTCCAAGCCCAAAGTGGCAACACCCAAAGTGGTGGACAAGATTGCTGAATACAAGCGACAGAACCCAACCATGTTCGCCTGGGAAATCCGTGACCGGCTCCTGGCGGAGGGCATCTGCGACAATGACACAGTGCCCAGTGTCTCTTCCATCAACAGGTGAGCAAGCTACCCTGAGCTGCAGGGCAGGGCTCCAGCTCCCAGCTCCTGCCCACCAGGGCACCCTAGCACATGATCTTGGGATCGTGGTTCTTTCTCCAGCCTCTGCCCTTCCTCCCCACTCCCAGCCTCAAAGTCTTTTGGGCAGGGAGAGGGGACCTGGGAGGCAGAGTTATAGACAGACAGGGCTGTCTCCAGCTTAGGCCTGGGTATTCCCTGCCAGGCTTCTCCCGCCGGCGTCCTGGAAATGAATCCAAGTGTTTGTGGTAATTAAGACTCCAAGATTACGCGCCTCGGTATCTAGAGACAATCACAGCCCACAGCCGAAGCCTTTAAAATGACCAGTGTCTATTCATCGCCTCCAAATAGACTTCCCTTTCTAAAGGCATGCTCCCCTCCCCAGGGGCAGCAGCCTGTCCTGGCTCCCCTGCCCTCCCTGCCAACTCCCACAAAGCTTGCCTCCCCGGAGCCCAGGCTTTGCTAGCCAGCTTCGCACAAATTTCCGGCCTACGAGCAGGAATATCCAGGCCTGTGGAGCAAATGCCAACCACTAGCCAGCAATTGGCAGGGTCTAGAGAAGCTGGACAAGGAGTGGGATGCCTCTCAGGGAGGGAGAACTCAGGATTCTGCGGCTGAACCTTAGGAAATGCCGCTAACCACCTGGAGTGCCTGTGTCCAGGCCTAGGAGTCTGCTGCTGACAGGCTCAGGCACCTGGGCATGATGCAGGCTAGAGTCAGCTTGACATAGAATAGCAGACGATAGTCAGTCTCCCGATCCCCAAGCCACTCTAGTATGTCCCCTGAAAGAACACATGTGCACACTCCATCCATGTATGTACACCCAGCCAGTGTGCAAATGTGTGTCTGTCTGTTGTGGGTACAGCACACATAGGCAGCAGGAGGATGCAGCAACCCAGGATGGCTTCAGCATCACAGAACTGTACAGCCTGATGTTAACAGAAACCCTGTACAAGTTCCAGATAACCTTGGCCAGCCTTTCAGCCCCTGCCCCCTATTTTAAGGCAAATGCCCAAATGAGATGAGGGTTAAGGGTTTCATACCCTTGTTGTTCTTTGCACTCTTCATAGGCTCATTATCAGGACAACTAATAATTCAGATGGTGCCCTTTTTCTGAAGCTGGCATCACGTGTCAAGGTTTTTTAAAGAAATATTTTGCAAATGATATGGAATTATCCCAAATCATCCTGAAAACAGCAGGTAGAATTAGCTGGTAGAATGTACCTTGGCTAAAGAAGATTCCCTCTGCCACACTTGTGCTGTAACGTACTGCAAGGCGACCCCAGAAATTATCCCAGTGTGTGCCATCTGTATTAAAATGGTTATTCAGTTATGAACAGGGTAACATAATACTGATCAGCTAATTACACACCCTCCGAAAACCCTCCAGCTCCCTGGGCCTGGCTCAGCTAGGTATTGAAAAGCATAGCAGTCTGACATTCAGACACCTTCTGAAGGAGCTGGAGAAAGACGCTGGGTGGTTTGGGAGAGGAATGAGTCTTTTGCATTTAAAAGCTAGAGGAGGAGTCTGGGGATGCTTTGGGACAGAGGCAGGAGTGGTAGCCAGGGAAGGGAAGGAAAGGGGACAAAGCATTGTTTTCTGAGCCATCTGGAGATGTAGCCTCTGCTGGTCCTTGGTGTGAGCTGAAACCCAGGTCCTGGAAGCGCTGCCTGGGGACAGTGGTGCTGGCGTTCCGGAGAGTATTAGAGAGACATGCTGCTGTCAGCGATAGGATTTGCTTTGGAGGAACCCAAGACATGTACGGTTAAGGCGGTTTGCTTCTCTCAATGGGTAGAGGATTGGAGCGATCAAGGTAGGTGTGGTAGTGGCACCCCTTGTCTGGCACCTTTTCTAGCCCCACCCCCTGCTCCCCTCACCCCAAAATATACTCCATGTCACTGGCTGAGATGTTTTAGGAAGCTGGCTTAGGTAAAAGTTTGGGGATGCTCTCATCCTGAAAAGCCATGGAGAACAGGATGACCCCAAGACCACGTTCTAGGGGCCTTGGGGTGCATCCACCAGAGTTGGGAAAAAGTAGAGAAGTGAGTCTAGGTTGATAGGAGAGTGCAAGAAAGGATGGCCTCAGCTTGGCAGCTGCAGAATCTGCTCCGTGTGGAGCCCTAGCACCTGAGGGGCATGGAGGCTTCCTTTGGGTGTGGAGAAATAACCATCTGTGGGCAGGTGTTGCTGTAGATGAAGAGGGAGTGGGAGGAGAGGAACGGGGAAGCCACTGGCAGCTTGGGCAGACGGCCCTGGGTTGGCAGCTAGATGCCCGGGCTTGCTTTGTCAGCAAGGAGCAGTGGGTACTCTCCACTTCGCTTTGGGACAAAATCCCGTGGTGGTTAATATTTTGGAAAGAATTCTGGGGGCTTCCCCGGTGTGCTGCTGAGTCGAGGCTGGAGGGATGCATCTGGGTCCCACACCCTTAGCTTCATTCAGCCCTGTTGGTGCTTTGCTCTGAAGGGGGAAGAGTTACCTGAAATGTGTTGTTTCACCATAAAGCCGGAGAAAGGCAGGTGTGTCTGCAGGTGCTGGTGATGTCAGGAACTTTGTGAATTCTCACTCTCTGCGGGAAGAGCCTGGAGATTTCCCCCTGGGCAGAAAGTGTGGTGCCTTAGGGGAACAGGCGGTTCTTGCGTTGAGAGATTTACTGTTGGTGGGTGCCCGCATGCACTGGGTGCTTTATACCCATTATAAGTAAAGGTGTGCACGTACCGGTGGTTGGCAGGAAAGGCAGTCCACACATGCTCCCCTACCTGAGCCAAATCGTCAGGTTTTTCATATTCTTCTCCTCAAAACAGATGCTGTCGCTGCACTTGAAATATGCTGTTATGGTTATAAACTAAATTGCTTTTCATGCTTTCAAAATGGTTTTGGCTTTCTCTGATCCTGTCGTGATAAAGCTTTAGACAGCCAACGCACATTCTCCACTAGCAACTCTTCATAAAAATACTTCTCTGAGCCAGTGGAGTAGGTCGGGGAGGCCTCCCAGCCCCAGCCCCACCCCCAGGGACCACTGTCAAAAATCCAGAGAGTTGACCAGATCGCTTAGCATGTGGATCATTGTTTAGTATCTGAGTCATTCTCGATATTGGGTGACTGATCACTGAGCATGGAGTTGCCAGTTCTTTAGCTTGTACACTGCTGCTGGGGAGGGCGGGTGCTTACAAACAGGTGACTTGAGATTGGAACCCGGTGTGGGAAATGGCCTGGAGAGGGGAAAGGATGGAGGGAGATCCATGCTGCTGAAAGGGGAAAAGTCACCTAGTTACATCAGAATTGACTAAGTAGGAAGGATTTTCCTGATTATATGCCAAGGCCTCCTGGTTTGGCCGTTGCTCTGGGCAGAAATAATACAGCTCTTTTGAAAGAACAGGCACAAACTGCAAGGAGAGTCTAGGGTTACTGAAGATCCCCTGAGGGCAACCTCTGGGAATGAGCTGATCGGAAGGCCCTCACTTTCCTGACTTCTTAGTCCGCCCTGCACAGTTTGGGACCAGGGTACTCCCTGCCTCCAGATCTCCCGTGTGGACTCTTCCAGGGTCCATTTCTCACTGAACACCTGCTGCCCACACTCTCCTCACCCTCTTTGGCTCTAAGCAAGCACATTCATTCTCTTAGCAGGGGCAACACTGCCTTCAAGAGGGCTATAGCCCCAAAGCTGTTAAAGAATTCCATCCTGTGCCATTCACAGGTCTTCATCAGAGCTCTGGCCGTGGGGGGAATGGGGTCTACCAGCTGTTCATTCACAGACCTTTCCATATAAGCTGGGAGTCACTCATCCTCGCCAAGGGAATGTTGAGGACATGTTTAGGGCTACAGTTTTATCTCCCTCTCTGAAACTCAGGTTCTAGAGAATTGCACGTTTGACTCTTGGCTTGGCACGAAGCTGAACTCAAAGCACAGCTTTTTCTGCCACATCTTCATACCTCTGCAGCTGTTTGGTGGTCAAGGCCATTGGCCTCATGGCAAACAGCCAAGGCAAGTTGATGGGCTAAGAAGAAGAGTTCTCCCAACAGGGGGATGAGAAAAGTAGGGACAGAGAACTTGCCTTGTGTGGCCTACCAGAGCGGGTCATAGATAGCAAACACACTTGTCAGTGTCTGTCTGAGAAGCCTTGCTCACCTGTCCCTCCCCAGAGAGGGTCACCTATTGCTGAGTAACATGTGAAACAGCCATGACTGTGGGTCCTCTTATTCCTTCACATGAGCTGGCATTGTCCTCCAGAAAAACCATTTTAGTTCTCTTAGTGATTTTAGACTTCTTGGCCAGCAGTCATATCGGTCTGTCTCTCTATTGACTGGCTCCGAGTGGGCGTTCAGGCCACAAAATGGCCTTTAGGTGAGAGCGATGGCTGGGTGCCCTGAGTTCTTTCCTCAGCTGGCAACTCTTGGGAAGAGGCAGACAGGAAGGGTTGTCCCTCATGAATGCTCCAGGTGGGTTTTGGATGGTGAAGCAAAGTGGAAAAGAAAAAGAAACCCCTAAATAAATAAACAAATAAATGGCACCCCAACTATTCTGAGAACGCAATAAAACAATCACATCAAAATGAAGAGGCATAAATCTTGTGTCTGCACAGGTAACCCACTCAATTGCTTTTATTATCGCTTGGGCTGCCTCCATTTATTACCGTCCACAACCTGGGCCGTGGAGGTTGCACGGAGGGTGGTCTCCAGTGCAATCCTACACTCTGAGAGGCAACAATCAGCCTGTACAGGCAGGGATTTCGATGGAAGCTGGGGAAGGGCCCATCTGTCTGCATGAAAACCAATCAATAACTCTGTAACCAGAGCCCTGTCACAGGGAAATGGACAACACAACAGTTCAATACAGGGGCCACAGGGGGAATTAGCCAAGTGGAGATGGGGCCCGGCAAGAGTAGCCCCTACAGCAGGGAAACAGGGTGCCTGGAGAAGGGAGTATTGGGGGGAAGTGGGGTGTGGCAGGGGAGAGCATTGGCTCTGTGAGCATATTGGCACAA